AAGAAATTTTCCGTGTTTTATTTACTATGCACAACCGTTTCAACAGAAAGTTGGTCAAAGGCCTGACTTTGAGAATGGCAAGAATCATTTACTATGCCGGCGAAACGTCTGGGAATGTACCAAGTCCACGGTCCGACTTTGGAAATAATTATGCATAGATGGACTCAGGACAAGGTGCGTTTCTATCAGTCTTCCTACCATTATGACCAAGTTGCGAAAACAAGGTCAAACGATGCCAGCGAAACGTCTGGGAATGTACCACGTCCACGCTCCTACTCTGAAAATGATGATGCATACTATAACTCAGGACAAGGTGCGTTCCTATAAGTCTTCCTACCAATATGACCAAGTTGCGAAAACAAGGTCAAACAGTTTCTATACAACGGAAGGAGACTACGATTACAAAAAAGGCACACCATCTTGGTCTTCATACTTTAGATACCTGGTTTTACTTGAAATTAAAATCTGTTCTATTACCAATTTCCATTTATATGAAACTGGTTTGGTTAAGACTAGACTAAAAGAAAGTATAGACAAAGTACATGTCATGGTTCTAATCAAATGCCACTTTTCAGTACTTTTTAGCCCATTATTTCTCTCTTACATGAAGACAAAAAGTTTATCATGTCCGACCTTGCACAATCGGAGTGATGGTTCAAATATATAGCTAGATGGAGTGATTATGTTCATCAAACCCTGATGACCGAGAACAGGAGCTATTTCCCATTCAATCAGTTTGAGCCATCACTACTGGTTTCATACATATGGAAACATATGAAGGCACATATACACACACACATGCTTCGAGTTTGATATTGACTTGAGATAACCAAATCACTTTATACCTCATCAACAGAGCTTAGATATAGAATATCAATACAGCATTTGGGGATGAGCCTCTGAGTTTGCTTGACTAGTTAATTTGAATATGGTTGTAAGGAAGCTATCCTGCTTTGATGATGCCCATCATATGAGACGAAAGGTTAGCACCTTTTCACCGGAATCGTAGGAGATTGCCTCGGGAACAGCGTCAACAAGAAGATTCCAGAAAAGCCAATCGACAACTAGTCAAGAGGAATCCATCATCGTCTTCTAGTGGGATTGACCTTCGAATCTCTTCAACAAGCACTTTCATTCGATAAAGAAGTAAGCTCAACAACAAAAAATTCGTAGCAGCCAACGGCATGACTCTAAATCAGTACTCGAATGGCGGAAGCTGAAGGCTAAAAGGGCATCACGTAGCATACAGCCCAGACTAGGTAACATTAAAAGTCCGGATTTATAAGAAGGCATTTTTAACCGCGAGCTAACAATCCCAAAACTATGCTCGCTGCCACTATTCTAGCTTAGGTCTTGAGTGAGAAAATGTCTTGTAGGAAGTACATAGGCACTGCCTACTTAAGTCTTACACTGTATAATTTAATTTATGAAAATAATACCTAGCTGGATAAGTTAGGCTTTAAATTTCAAGCAATTATCACGCTGTCATAAAATGAGTGTCTAGCATCATCCCTTAGCTTCATTTGGAAAAGCTTCTTTTACCTACTTACAAAGAATCATTGCATAAAAAGGAAGCATTCGATTAACAAGAGGTTAGTCTGTATCACTACCATATGCAGATAAACCGTTATGAAAAAAAATAAGATGGGGTAAATAAAGGCGGTTATCCGAAAATATGCTACCTTCATCTAAAATAGGGCTCGTCGAAAGTGGTATATCTGTGAGTTTAACGCCATCTACCGCTGGGTTAGATAATTGAGAATCTGAAAAATCCGTATTTAGATTTGAAGAACTTGGGGTACCAGAAGAGGTGGTGGCAGCACAAGAAGTGGTGAGGCTGGCGGTGGTGGCTGCTTCGGAAGTAAATGTGGATGTCGAATTAAGCCGGAGCCCAGCCACACCCTTCTTCTCGATGTTCACGAGATCTCGTTTGATGCGACGTCGTCTCCCATAACGATCGCGCCGAACCTGATATAATAAAAAGTTTATAAATGCATACGTAGTGTACATTTAAAGTGTTCATTTTATAGATTCATATATATCCTAGCTAGACTACTAGATTGTTGACGAAGCTTTAAGAAGAATTCGTCCTTATGCTGTCGAAATACATTATTGCACAAGATTGTGCAAGTAAAAGCTTGTTTTTGTTATTAATATTCAGCTGGTAGCAGCTACCAGGAGTCTGCAAGTTGACAAAACACATTATTCACTGCATAATATTAAATGGCCTTATTGCAACTCTAACAGCGATGGAGGGATTGAGTTTTTATTTAACGTCATTGCAACGTGAATTTCAAAAGGCACTTAACATTATGGATTGATAGTAATTTCTAGCCCTAAAAAGTTTTCAACATCGCTACCAGCGAAAGCCGAATCGTGGATGTGAAGGTTCAGGAGCAGACACTTTATGCTCCATGCAAAAGAGCACTAATAGATTTGAATTACACAGCAAATATACTTTCAAGGCCAAAGAAGACTCTCAAAACTCACAACAATAGTGAGGACATTTATATCAATAATATGAGATATATTCATCCTATTTCGTTTAAGGTGATGAAGGACTGGTAGTAGGATTTTCCCACAATGATGAGTATAACTGACGTCTCCTTTGAATTTCACATAGCCTTGCTTTTCCACAAGTTGTTCTCATCCAGGGTGAAATGTAGTTTCGACCTCGCATAGATCTTATAAACACCACCAGCGGGAGTAGAACTGTGACAGTGCAACATGTGAGCTTGACACGTTAACAACTCGGCCACGTTGCCACGAGTGCTCTTGGGTCACGGGGCAATGCCAATTTTAAGGGAGGCCAGGCGTTTTCACATATCACATTCTTTGGTTGGACTATCGATGACGCAAACGTATTTTTGCTATAAGAGTCGACTACGT